TAAAGAATAAATAGGTATAGAGATAACAATTAAATCAAGAAAGGGTGTTAACAGTCCAACAGGAAGTACGTACATCTAAACTGAAATTAAAACAAAACAGCACAATAATATAATAAAATTAATTTCGGCTGCTTGAAAAAGATTAATGAATTTTCAGCAATTTGTTACATTAATTTTTAATATTTTTACAATGTTAATTTTACTATTTTATTTTACTATGTTATTTTATTTTATTATTTTTGTGTTAGTTTGTTTTGATATATGTACTTCTTGTTAGACTGTTAGACCCTTTTTTCATTTAATTTTTGATTTAACTATTATCGCTTGATTATTTAATTAATATCTCAGGATACTGAGTGACTTTAACAGTTTATAATTTTAATTTGAAATTTCTAAAATTTTGCTTATAAACGTACACCCCCCCCCCAAATATACATATAGAGAGAGGGGAGGGCCGTATATTGCACCTACCTTTATAAACTGTTGTTAGTGTAATTCGCGTGTTTAGAGTGTGGCTTGTAAGCTTACAATCTGTTTAAAATTTTACTTTTAAAATTAAAATTTCCTAGAACATGATTTAATTGAAAATTTATTTCAATAATGTTCAGTTGTATTTGCTAAATTGTATTATATGGAGGAGAGATATGGGCCCAACCTCTTACCAAAAGGAAGAAAATACAGCTGCAGGCAATACAACGCCCGTTTTTACTATGCATTACGAGGTGCTACAGAGCAATATCAAATGCGGCACTCTGTGTATTGCCAGGAATAGCCCCCTGCATATAACAGCTGAAATGGAACATACCAAAGGCACGGTTTTAAGGCTTAAAGGGAGCTGTTCCATAAAAGATAGAGTCTTCGAATATTCCAGTTACGAATCTCCCTGTAACCCGTACAGAAGTCACCCAGCAGTAAATCCAAAAATCAACTTTATTGCAAAAGACGCAGAAACTAGAGATGCGCATACGCAGACGGATCCAAAATGGGAGAAGGAATCGTATGTGCATACATTATTTATATAAATTCTCAATTTAAAATAACGCGAAAAGCTAAACTTGGAAATTAAAACAGTATTTTCCAAGCTGAGTTATTTGGAATAAAAATGGCCCTAGAATATTGTACCGAAAACGAACTCAAAAAAATTTCGAATATATACAGATAGTTAATCCACGATTCTACCTATGAAGAATACTAAATATAATTCTTCGATCATTCAAGATATCTATGACGTCTCCATCTCGAATCCCGATATACATTCCAGTCCTTCAATATAGTCGCCAGCATTGTGTACAACCCGTTTCTAACGATGTGGAAGTCGCAGAATACCTGTAGCAGCGCCTGTTTTGTTGATGGTTTGAATGGACCGGTGTACTGCCGCAAGAATCTGAGGAACAGTTTGGAAGCGAGTGCCACGAAGTGGTTCCTTCATTATAGGAATTAAGTCATAGTCATAAGGGCTTAGATCTGGGGAGTATGGTGGATGGTAAAGCACTTCCCAGCCCCATCGCTTGAACAAATCATCACAGCTTACGCTGCATGCGGGGGCCGAGCATTGTCATGCAAAATGAGAGGAGCGTTTTTCTGCAAAAAGTGTTGCCGTTTTTTCTCAAAGCTGGTCGGAGATTTGCTCCAAAAATGAGCAGTAATACTGCGCAGTGACGCTCTGCTGTGCGGGAACAGTATGCGTTAGGATGACACCATCTTTAGACTTTAGACCGCGAGCTGATACAAGGATCCGTTCTTCGCGTCACTCCGCATGCGCATGACGTAGGCAGGACGAGTCTTTTTTGCTGAAGGGTAAGGTAGGTATGTAGTTTACGTGTGGTATACGCGATATTCTTTGGTTTTGTTGCGTAGCATTTTTTCAGCTGTGTTGCCACTATTAAAGTTCCAACCCTCGTATATGTGACGAAAGGGGCGAACCTAACTGTTACATCTTCAAATGTCCATTAACAAAGAACTATCACTTGAAACCTCCTGAGACTAATGTATATCACAGCTTGCAAATAACATTAAAAATGAAAAACCTAAGAATAAAAATAGAAATCTCTGTCATATTCCTCGCTAGTATAGGAGACGAATTATGCAATGCAAGATAAGCAAATAATAACACACTGGAACTCTCAAAAATTTAAATTAGATTTGACCAAACGACCTACTTGACAAAAAAAAAAAAAAAAAAAAAAAAAAATTGAAGGACAAAATTGAATTGAAAAAAGCACAGACTAGAATTGACAAAAAAGTCTAGAAGAACATATAACAACTCTTTCCATCCCACAAAACCAAAGGAAGTCTAAAATATTCTGAAATATAATTCAACCACAAAATAATTTGTGCATGTACACAGTATAAACTGTCTCCATGTTACAGACAAAAAAAAAAAAAAAAAAAAAAAAAAAAAAAATCCTCTTTGTATTTTTGTATATAATGATGTTATAAATATGTTTGTAAATGTATTGTTTTATATATATGCCATTATGTATTAATATGTTACATACTTACCTTTATGTTATGTATTTAATTTATATTCTATATTTACCATTATGCATTCGAGTATGAAAGGTAAAAGGTACCATATGTCACAATTATATTGTAATCGTATGTAAAAATTGCAACCATGTCAAAATTTTTCAAAATCATCATAATGTTCAAATAAAGATAAATAGTGCAGCTCGACAATACCCACATTACCAATGATTAAACAATGGGTGTCCGGTTGCACTACAACCTGAACCTGTATTTGCTATTGTGTTTTTCCCTATATTTGCTTTTTTCAAACTTTAACTTTTCTCCTTCTTTTTTTGGTTTTCATAAACTTTATCTTCTGATTCAATTTTCTTTTCCGTTTTCTTTAAATGTGCAGTCGCTTACTAAATATTTATCAGAACGTACATAAACAGCAGTAATAAAGCAAAGGGAAGAAGTTAGAATTTATGCTTGTTTTCGGTCTGAAATCTAAAAGAAATGCTTTGGTTACACTCTGTAATTCAAAAGTTTTGATTGCTAAATATATAAGATATTCAGAATTGCATTTATTTTAAAGAGTTTTAATATATTGATTTGCTTACTAAATAACTTACTTTTAGCTTAAAGTAAAAATAAACAAGTTATGAAAAGTTTTTAACTCACTTCGAATTAAACTTGAGAATAAATAATAACAGCCTATTCTTTATCTTTATATTTAATGAATTTTTCTTTGTCACATACAATAAAAATACTTGTGTTTGTAGGCCAGTAGTTATAAACTTGCTCTATTTCTTATTACAGCTTGATATTTACCACAGGCAAATTGCCAAGCATACACAGAATAACAAAAACAGAAGCTCGATCTATTCTTTCCGATATTTTTTACTTCGTTGTACAAAGTAAAGGAAGTATTGTAATATAGTTCAATATATTGTAATATATTTCAGCCATATTTCAACGAAAATATCCATTTTGACTTCTATCGAATGCAATTTAACGATGTTTTTGCGTGACATCTACGTAAGGATACAATAAAGGCCTCTTTTTCTCCAAAGGAATTGTAAAACTGAATTAAAATGGATTCAAAAGAGATTTTTCCGTGGCGTCTGTACGTACGTACGTATGTATGTCGGTACAGGTCAGTTCGACGTCAACGTTTCGACGCCAACGGTTCTACGCCAGCGTTTCGACGCGGGGTCAATTCGACACGAGGTCGTTTCGACGCGGGGTCAGTTCGACGCCATACTTTTTTTGCTTTTGTTTGACGCCATACATTTCGTATTTTTATTTACCATTTGTGTATTTTGCCTTTTTGATGCTGTTTTGTGAAATAAATAAATAAAAAAACCCTCCCTCATGTCCCGGGGCCTTGACATTGGCGAGGGGGCTTCTCACTAATCTGGGACACAAACAAAAATCTAGAACACTTTCACATATATACACACATATATTATTTCAAATATGCATGCAAACAATCGCTAATTCAATAAAATAAAATCAGTCATATTACTTATTTATATTACTTCATATTTATTCTAAAAAAAATAAAAATACGAAAAAAAAATATAGCGTCGAACGCCCCTGATCGAAACGTACGGCGTCGAACTGCCCCGGCGTCGAAACGTTGGCGTCGAACCGTTGGGGTCGAACCGTCGGCGTCGAAACGACCTGCTTCGATGTATGTATCTCGGGTAACCCAAAAACGAACAGCTTCAGAACGTTAAAATTTTGTATGTGGGTCTGCTATAACATGTAGATGTGCACCTTCCTTTTTGGTTGCAATCGGCCTCACCAAAAGTATATAAATATATATATATATATCCATACTGTTACTGGGCTCAGTGAGCTCAACATTCTTATTCTTATATGTCCGTAATTGTGCATTTTTTGCTTTAAAATCGATTGAATTATGTTATTCTTATCTTCCGGTTAAGGTTTTTATGCCTTTAGTAAATCTGCATGCAATATTTGTAGAATTATCGACAGTTTAAAAATTGTTTAGGTGCGTCTAAGCCTAATATTTTTTATCGTAGCAGCTATATTTGTTTACATTTGAAACTTAGCAGAATAGTGGATTTGTTGCCAATCTAGAAAAACTAAGGTTCGCAACAACAAAGGGACGTCTTCTTTTGTAATGGCGAATTAAATTATGCTTAATCCATTTTGGAATTATCATTTAGGTTATTAAATTATCTGGTATGCTGGAATGAATTTGAACAGTGAATGTTATAAAGGCTCCTTCGGTTACGTTTTAAGTAATCTACATAAAATAATTACCCAGATTTTGAAGTCATACTTTCATTGCCCGAATTGAATATGATTCATACGCAGGGTTTCATGAAGCAATTTTTTATATTTGTAGAAGATTACTCAAGATTCTAAGGTAACAATTTCTGTGACGAAACAAAGTGTCATACTTAGTGTAGATGTATCTGTCAAAGAGACAGAAAACTTGTAAAGCTAAAATCTTCTGTTATTGTACCGAAGCAACTATTTGTATTTTATAAACTTAAATGTGTTCTTCTACTTTACAGAAAAAAGTTGAGACCAACGAAACATCAGAACGATCACTCAGTAACAATAAAAGTACCCAATGGAGACGCGGATAAAAGCTATGAAGAAGAAAAGATGACAGCAGTTACTTCTTTACCAAATCCAGCTGCTAAACCTCAAGAGAATAGTAAAAAGTTAGTTGATGTTAAAGAAGAAGAAATTCACTTTGAAGGTCCTGCAACGACTGTTCGTGAACCTGATGATGATCCTGATCCTTCGGAAGTGGCTGAATCAGGTGAAGTAGAAACAACGCAGGCTTCTTCTCCTGAAGTCTCTGAAGACGTAAATGTGGAGACTGAAAACACACAGTCAGCGGAAAATGTCCCAGACACACCAGAAAATGATTCAAAAAACGAATTTGTGATGGATTATTATTAGTAATTTTTTTTGTTGTAAATAATAACAGGGACCATTTTCCTGCCAACTTTAAAATGAACATTTCTGGGTACATTTTGTTCCCAAAGTACTGTAATGGTGATAGCCGTCAGCATGTAAGAATGGCGCTTACAAAACCTTTGTTATTGGTTATTTGTTGACGGTGTCATAGATGATTGCTATCCTTTCGCAATTCTCTGCAGCCTTATTATTGATTACCTGTAAGTAATCGATGCAGTTCACATAGGGGTAACCAAATGTTCATTCTGCAAGAATATTTACATTCTCTTTCATACTATAAGTTGAAACACTGAAAGAAGGTTTATTGAAGATAACTAAATTACATTGTATTCTGGTATTTGTCTTTGTTACCCAAATAATGGAAAAGAATACCTTATGTTACAAATTAATCATATAACAGAAGCTATATTTAAAGGTCCTATCAATTCATTTCCATGATATGTAATAAATACTGATATAGAATCCCTTGTAGTGCAGAATTGAATGTAATATACAGTAGTATAGGTTTATCCGTATTATTGGTGTGAATGTTGATAATTTTATTTTGAATAAGTGTACATAAAAAGTATATTTTTATACATTACATAAATTGTTTGTCTTCGCTGGCGCAAGAAGACATAAAGAAAGATATTTTCTAAAATAATTTTAAATAAAGAGATTAAAATGTACTCATTAAAAATTTTCAGATTTAATTAAAACACTCCTTGAGAAAATAGACATAGTTAACAAATGCAGATAGTAGTATATTCTACTATTTATATATAGTTTGAAATGCTGATGTTTGAAGCGTGAAAAACAAGAAGTTAATTACCTACATGTCATTTTAACTTTTGTTTCTTTTAGTGTCATATCTCTAAAACTCTAAGCCCGATATTTTTTGTATATATCGTAGCGTTTACCAGGGCTTTATATTTTGGCTATTATGTAAAACAGTTTATTCGAAATGCAGATAATTTTTAAATCTGTATGAAGTTACGTTAGTCATTATCAATACTTTAAAGAATTAAATTTTTAAAAATCCGAGCCGTAATATGCTTTTAATTAAATATTGAACTGTACAATCAGAATTGCATTTTGCACCGTTTTAGTAAGTAGAACGGTATTGTGCACTGTTTCCTTTAGTTCTTATAAAGTATAAAACATATATAGCTCTGAGTAAGCATTATTGTTCTAATTTATAATTAATAAGCGATATCAGTGATAGATATAGTTATAAGCGATGTTAGTGATATTAAAAATAACTAATATGCTTTATTAAATATTGAACAGTACAATCAAAATTGCATTTGCAAAAATTGCAACCGTTTTTAGTAATCAGAATGGTATTGTGCACTGTTTTCCTTTAGCTCTTATAAAGTAAAAACATATATAGCTCTGAGTAAGCATTATTGTTCTAATTTATAATTAATAAGCGATATCAGTGATAGATATAGTTATAAGCGATGTTAGTGATATTAAATAACTAATATGCTTTTATTAAATATTGAACAGTACAATCAAAATTGCATTTTGCACCGTTTTAGTAATCAGAATGGTATTGTGCACTGTTTCATTTAGCTCTTATAAAGTATAAAACATATATAGCTCTGAGTAAGCATTATTGTTCTAATTTATAATTAATAAGCGATATCAGTGATAGATATAGTTATAAGCGATGTTAGTGATATTAAATAACTAATATGCTTTTATTAAATATTGAACAGTACAATCAGAATTGCATTTTGCACCGTTTTAGTAATCAGAATGTATTGTGCACTGTTTCATTTAGCTCTTATAAAGTATAAAACATATATAGCTCCGAGTAAGCATTATTGTTCTAATTTATAATTAATAAGTGATATCAGTGATAGATATAGTTATAAGCGATGTTAGTGATATTAAATAATTAGGAACGATCCTAACGTAATTATATGCGATGTGCTCTAATTTGTAGTTAACATCAATATGTCTAAAATGAATTAAATATTTTACTTACAGGAATAAACTTTATATATCGTAATATAAAATGCTTGATAAAACACAAAATACTTTTTTGTACCTATAGAGTGATTTAATTACAGAGATAAACTAGGATATTAGTACAAAATTTTATAATATGCAACATAACATTTTCACAATATATCAAGTAGGGTATCTCTAAAATATTACATCAGTATATTATTTTAAATTAACACTTAATATTCTAAACCATCATTGAGTTATCAAAAATAATTTTGCAACAGAGTACTTAAATAAGTTAAAGTTTTAAATTTACATTCCTTTAAATAATCTAATTACACTGTAATTATAATTAATTCAGGTTTTGACGAAACAGAAAATACATTAATAAAATGTAACAAATTAAATTCAATGCTAAATTAAAGATTAGCAAAATAATTCTTTTTAAATCTAAAATATTGTGTTATATTATGTGCTTAAAATACAACACATTGAAATAAATGTATTTTATTAATGATTTGCGCTACTTAAGTTAATAAAATCATGTACGGAAGAAAAGAGGCTCGAATTAAATAAGGGTACATATTTTAGCAATAACAGTTCTTGAAAATCAGAAACGTGAACTTTGTCATCACATATGTGAACATATCAATGAACTTTGTCATAAAACTGAATTTTTCACCTATTTTTGTAAAGTACTTATTATGCACTATAGTTCTGCAGTGTTCTAACCCATGCTCAAACATTTTATTGTTATGTTTTTTGCTGATGTGTCAATTGTATATGAGCTTAAACAATGTATTTTTAATGACTTTCAAACATTTACGCGACAAGAAATGTAAAAATTTGATGCATTTATACACATATAAGATTTTTTTAAATAAACGTATGTTTTAGAAATATTACGCATGTTTATACTACTAAATGTTGAAATTATTTTCATACTTATGCGAATAATGTTAACAGATGCAGATGTTGCGTACAGAAATGAATAACAATAGATGGCAAATTTAAGTGTTTGTTTGCAATTGTATTTTAAGTAAAAGATTATATGCATTTCCAAGAGCATTTTTCCTGAGCAAATTACTTCGCCCCTCCTGAGAAACAGCGAGTGATCCATTGTCTTTGTAAAAGCATGTAAACTTTTCCTTTGAAACTGATGCCAAAGAAAATTTTTAATTCGCCAATCGTTAATGTAATATTATTTGTTGATTTGATTGTAAAGAAAAATTAACTAATTAAGGATAATTTAGGGTAACATTCAACGATGGTTTTGAAATGTAATTAATTAATAGATATTTTAATATGAGCGTAATTTTACAAAAACTGACTAATAAAATTCAGTTTAAAAGCTTTTTTTTGCCATTTTGAATACTGTTGAGCGCTGATTATCCGAACTTATTGAGACTTACCTCAGTTTGCATAACTGATCGTTGTAGAATGTTATTCTAGACTGCCATTGCACAGTCTTGGACAATAACGATATTCGTTATGCCTATACCTGTAGAAAAACAACTATTTTTGTAAAATTTGGAGGCTGAGTTAATTATATTTTAAAACAATTATAAAAGAATTGTAATAGTGTTTTGGTTCTAAGAAAGTATTCTTTTACGTTGGATTATAATTGCAAATTAAGTTTAGGCAAAAAAAAAAAAAAAAAAAAAAAAGATGTAATAATACTTTAGTGCATTTTACAGTATTTACAGACATTGTTACATGCACAAAGAATATTTCGCCATATCATGGCGTAATTCGAAATTTCTTAGCCATCTGTAATTTGCATCAGAGTTAGCTAAACTTATTTGAAAACTCTTTTCTTTTTCTTTTTTTTTTTTTTTTTTTTTTTTTTTTGTGTGTGTGTGTGTGTGTGTTTCATTTTTATCTGTTTCCTACTGGAAAAAACAGCGTTTTCTTTTCAAATTACTTAGATTTGCAGTTAGATCTTTAAACTGGAAAGGGGATGATTCGGATAATCAGCATTCTGTTCTAACGTGAAAAAACACCTTTGTGTGCTTTTGCCCTTATTTCATGTTTCGTCTAGAATAAATGTTTGATTTCTTTTTAAGTGGTAGTTCAATTAAGTTTTTGATACACTTAAATCTAAAAATGGTATTTTGGAAAATATACTAATTAATCATCGCGATAAGCGATAGTTTTACGCAGTTAATAGAATAAATAAAGTATAAATTTGAAGAATCACATAAGTTTAATGCAAATTTGCGGAATACTTCGAAGGGTTAAGATAACCGACCGTGTTCAAAAAGTCGATTTTAGCTAAAAATTTCAATTTTTTTCCAATTTAGCATTTTCAAAAGCCGCATTTTCAGCTATCAAAGACAACTTTTCTTTTCTTTTCTTGATATGTCTGTTAGAAGTGATGATATACAATTTTATCTGAGAGACGATAGACGGGAAATCAAAGTTTAAAGCACAATTTAAAAATACAATTTTCACCCTTTTCTATGTTATTTTTTAACTAAAAATTTTTAACCATTTCAGTAAGTCTGGAGAATCTGGCAAAATATTTTTATTATGTATTTTCTCATTTTCGCTTGGCAACTAGAACAGTTGTATACGTATGTCATGTAACGTAAATCAAGATGTAATATGATGGTTAATCCGAAAACTTAAAATAAAATTTTTGATATATACATGTATTTTTTACTTCGTTGTACGAAGTAAAAAGGAAGTATTGTAATCGCGAAAAGTTTCAGGCAGCATATTTCAACAAAAATATCCATTTTGACCGCTATCGAATGCAATTTAACGACGTTTTTGCCTAAGGACTATTTAACGATGTTTTTGCCTATCTGTACCTAAGGACAGAATAAAACACTATTTTCCTTCAAAAAAAAAAAAAAAAAAAAAAAAAAAAAAAAAAAAAAAAAATTATAAAACTGCTTTAAAATTAATTCTGATTAGTTAATTCTGATTAGATCTAATTAGTTTTTGATACACTTAAATCTAAAAATGGTATTTTGGAAAATATACTAATTAATCATCACTGAAGAGAATTTTTCGTGGCGTCTGTACGAACGTATGTACGCACGTGCGTACGTACAAATCTCGCATAACTCAAAAACGAGTAGCCTCAGAACGTTGAAATTTTGCATATAGGACTGCTATAACATGTAGATGTGCACCTCGTATTTTGGTTGCAATCGGCCGCACCAAACGTATATAAATACATTTATATATATAATCCACTCTGTTACCCGGCTCAGTGATCTCAGTTTCTTTACTCTTATATGTTTGTAAATTGTACATTTTTTGCTTTAAAAAATTGAATGAATGTGTTGTTTATCTTCCGGTTAAGGATTTATGTCTTAGTAAATCTGTGTGCAATATTTTAGAATTATCATCAATTTTAAAGTTGTTTAATTGCCGCTAAACCTTTTTTTAATGGCGGCCATTGATGTTTACATTTCAAACAGGAGACTAGTGGATTTGTTGCCAATCTAGAGAAACTTAGTTTCGCAACAACAAAGATAACGCCTTCATTTATTATTGCCAATTAAATCATTCTTATTTTCTTTCTGGAATTTTTTCGAGGAAATAAGTGATTGAGATTTAATTCGTAATTTTTAATTTGGATATTTTGAGTTTTTATGTATTTTTGCCTTCTCGCGAAGTGAGAACTGAATTAATTAAATGAGAAATACTCAATAGTCTGTGAAAAATTGTTTCTTTTTTGTTTTTGTTGCTTAATTCTTTTATAATCATTCTAGCTTTATATAGTATTTGAATAGAACATGTGGTAACGATTAGATCATTCTATTCTTTAAATGAGTAAAATTTGTGCATATGAGTTATAAAGGAACGAATATAAAGTTAACTTTTATATTATTGGATTATATAACAGTTAACTTAGTTCCGTTATATAATATTAATTAGTCCGTTAACTGTTATATAATTATAATACTGTAAGTGAATCTAGCGCCAGAGTGTCGCTATGTAAACAAATACTAGAGTGAATTTTAAGAATGCATTATTCTATGGTGATTTATGCGCTGTCGGGAAGTAGATTTAATTCAATCCTATAAGTTTAAATGAAATGCAAGAAAAAATGCGTATAATTTAATATTCCAATTTAATATTTCAATACAAGGAAGTCATGTGGTGTACACGTCAGATTTTTATGATTTATGTTCAGAACAACCATGATAACTCGAAAAGTTAATCATAGAATCACTTGAAATTATGCACAAAGAGATTGTTGATAACTGTACAGAATGTAAAGTTAAAAAATTAATTTTATAGATTTTAAATTATATGATTTTTTC